CCATCCCATCCCATCCCATCCCATCCCATCCCATCCCATCCCATCCCATCCCATCCCTTCCCTCTGTGGGAGGCAGGAGATGGAGAGGTGGGGGACGGGTACTGTCTCAGCCCCCTCCCTGGTGCTCTGGATGCCTCAGTCCTTCCAGCATCCCATGGCAGGAGGGACCTTCCACTTTGCTCACGGGATGGAAACACTGGTGTGGGCAGTGAGTAAGGGGGTCACGCTGCTGACGACTGCTTGGGATATGCTGGAGGTGGGAAAATCATCTGGGACATCTGCTGTGGCCTGTGCACAGCCCTGGGAGCACAGCAGGCTCAGGGAGGGGTGTCCAGGCTGGCAGTGTCACCCCGAGTCCTGCCTGGGGCACTGTCAGACAGGGATGGGGCAATCTGGTCCCTACGGGCCACAGACAGCAGCTGGGCTCTCCTGCTGGGAGCACTGGGATCTGGATCCCTCAAGCCAGGGGCTGTGGGATCTGGGGGCTCCTGCCCAACACCCCCGACCCGCTGGCCCTCACCGTGTCCCACTTGGCCCTGGCCTTCTCCTCCTCGAAGCGGGCGAACTCCCGGCGGTCGTGGATGGTGATGAGGAGCTTCCAGATGAGCAGGGCAGCCAGGCCGATGAGCAGGATGGCCCCTGTCACCGAGAGCAGGACCACCAGCACGTCGGGCCCCTTCGGGCAGTCTGCAGCACAGAGCAGGGCAGGGTTGGAGGGGGCTCAGCACTCCCAGGGCGACTAAAAGCAGCTCTGGGGCTGCCTGGCCATGGGTATGTGGAGCTCCTCCGGGCCCAGGAAGGCTTCATCCTCCCCTGGCAGGGAGCAGGAGCCTCCCCCCTGAGCACAGCAGGCTCTGTGAAGGAGGATCCCATCCATGGGGTGCATGTGCTGAGATCCTCGAGCTCCTGTCTGTAGGGTGGGGATCTGCACCCAAGCGTGGAGCAATCCAGACCAGGGGCACCACGGGTCCCACCCATGGTGGGGGATGGCACCTGAGCCCAAGTCCTTGTGCTGGTGGAAACTCTTCCCCAAACCACCACCCCGCTGACCCCCTGCTCTCAGCTCTGCACCAACACCACGTTGGAGCTCCTGTCTGTAGGGTGGGGATCTGCACCCAAGCGTGGAGCAATCCAGATCAGGGGCACCACGGGTCCCACCCATGGTGGGGGATGGCACCTGAGCCCAAGTCCTTGTGCCAGTGGAAACTCTTCCCCAAACCACCACCCCGCTGACCCCCTGCTCTCAGCTCTGCACCAACACCACGTTGGCAAACGGGGGTGGTGAGATCCCGTGGGAGCCCCCACA